CCTGGTGAAGGTGGTGGAAGTAAAATGTCCACGTCACTTATCCACTTTCCAGCGCCCTGCGATATGACCTCGAGTCGCCTCCACATTGGGTGTCGGCTTGGCGCGCTGTTCATCCCCTCTGTGCCACTGCCTGTCTGCGCGTGTGTTGCGTGCTAGTTTTAGGGCTGCTTCGATTTTTTTGAAAACTCTGCCTATCCACCAAAACAACCAGGAGATGGTAGAATTTTGAGCCCAGCAGTCCGAATTCGTTTGTGAAACTGTGGCCGAGAAAAATAATGGGTAGTTGTTGAAACCCTCCACCAATCCTGCAATCTCGTGGCCCTAGGCAACAAGGTACCGGGTGCGGGCCTTTGAGCGGGCGCAGTTTAAGGGATACGTGGGGCTTATGCTGGCAGTGCAGCGGCAGCCTGTGGTGGTTCACATCGAGGCGTCTGCTTCTACATTTATTATGTATAATGGGGTGAGTGAGCCATTGCAACTCTCACCCAGTATGGTGCCTTGTGGATGGCCAATACAGAGATCACAGATGCATTTCCACAATTTACTCACATATTTACAACGGCCAGCAATGTCGAGTGGTGCTTGCAATCCTTTCTACAGTCCCCATTTATTCTTGATGGATGATCTGCCCTCTCTTTGCTGCAGACCTACAAATACCAGGATCCTCTTTGCTACACGGGCAGTCTCAACCATGTTGTACTCGTTATTGGCTACTTCATTACAAGAAACAATGGCAGCCAGAAACGCATTGCTCCTCCGTTTTGGATCATCCGCAACTCATGGGGAGAGGAGTGGGGCGACAGAGGCCACATGCGCATGGACATTCAGGGAGGGGATGGCGTCTGTGGAATCAATGCGCTGCCGGGAATCTACCCCATTGTCAAGAGTGAGCCATACTAGGCGAGCCGAGTGCTCATGACGAGCTCGGGTGAGTCGCGAGCTGAGTGAGCGATTTGCACCGCCTTCAGCAGCGGTTGATGACGTTGACGTAAAACTGCCACCACAGCCACCAGCACAGCCGTGTCATCGTGTGTGTCAGTGCTGCAGTCTCCTGCTCCTCTGCAGCAGTGCGAGTATGGAAATTCGCCGCCAGATTCGCGTAGATATGTCCGTCGCGACCGTGGCATTTCTTTTGCCGCTCTAGCCACGCCCGCTTCGACTAATCGAGCCGGACGTCAGCTAGTCAAAATGTTGCGAGAGAGCCGATAAGACAACGGGCCAAGCCTCCAGCTCGGTCTCTTGCTCATGCCTATCATAGGAGGGCACCCGATCTCATCATTGGTGATTTTTGATTGTGTCTACCACCAAATGTGCGCCCATTCTTTTAAGCTGACGAGCGAGATTTCTTTGACATGTAGAAATAAAGTGTAGACAATCCACACACCTAGTAGAAATAAGTGAAGCAACTTCGACAATCCAAACGACTGCAACAACGGCACGGAACCACCAGCCTTGTCTCACTGTGTCTGCCTCTCGTGTGATCTATTCATGTTGCACGAGCTCCCTAGTATTTTAACTTGATACTTGTTTGTTTGCTATGGTTGTACAGCTTCCACCTTCATGTGTTTCAAGTGTCTCCTCTTTGACACCTTCCAGTTCCAAGAGACCCGTGTGGAGAAAAGAGCTACAAGGGCGATGGGGATTTGCAGCCCACCATGAACCCGTGCGGCCGCTTCCAGTGCCAGGAGACGGCAGAAGGCGGCAATAATTGCACCTGCAATATTCCTTCAGCTACCGTGCAGCCCTTTGTTGAGGCAGAGAATGGCTATGGCTCCAAAACATGTGCTTACGGTAAGCTCGGTTGCAAGTGAAAGCATGAGTTTGCAAAATTGGTCCCACATTGGAGTTTATGTCTGGTTTTTGGACCGTGAGAAGGCCTCCATGCCCTCCTTATATTCATGTGAATGTGGTACATAGAACAGGTGGGAACGCACAACAATGAGGAGAGTATGAACATCTCCCTCAGATGCAGATGGACCTCACATTGTGAATGTGCTCTACATCCTCCTAGCCCGCTTCCACAATGTGCAGGAGGTCTGCCGGCATCTGAGGTGCAGCCTGATTTCTCTCGCGGCCATGGAATCTCATATCCCCAATCTCTTCTCCCCATATCCCCCTCTGTTTTCCACATTCCCTAGACATAAGAAAATAGCGAGGCAACTAATACTCGCCTCGTATTCTGTCATGAATTGAATTGTAGGAGAAGGTGTACACAATATAACTTCATGACTAGTAGAGTAGCGAAGGATGCTGTAGTAGGATGAACGGTAGGAAGAACAAAAAAGGGGGAAAGGCAAGCGAGGGAAGCGAAAAAAAGCACCGTTGCACCCAACGGTGACCCTGGTAGGGTACTTAGGGTGATGGGTGTGGACTAGCTTGGTGCTTGTGCGTTTGTTTTCAATTTTGCTTAACTCTACCTATTCGCAACTGGTGACTTGGTTCGGGAAGCCAATTCACACGAGCACCCTACGGAGACTTATGCCTGGACGTAGAGCCAGCCGAGCTAGGGTTTGATCTCGTTTGCTGGTTGAGTGCTGGGACGGTTGACTTAATCTTGAGTGGACGGGCAGCTTGGGAAGAAGGAGAGGCTGGCCAAGGAGTTGAGAAGCCTGAAGACAAAGGACTAAGAAAATAATGGGGGTAGAGGGGGTAGAACAACGAGGAGAGAGTGACAGCAGGAATTCCGACATTTTTCCTGCCTCGTTCAAGTAACAAGGCGAGGCGAGTATTACTTGTGGCGACTAATTTTTGCTATTGGCCAACTCGTTACTCGCACAAAAATGCGAATACTTGCCTCTCCAGGAACATTTCTACGGAAACTTAGATCAACAAACGGAGATTAGTCAACCACGAATTTCCTTGTGCAAAAAAGGGGGATAATGGAGGATGTTGTAGCGAGCAAGAATGGTGATCCGCTAACGCGATGCGGAAATGTGGGAGAGATCCATATCTCCCTCACAGTGCTAGAGTGAAGAGAATAAACAAGTTGGGTAAGGTAGAGGGAGTGAGATTTAGTGCAGTCGGTGGCGGGGGGAGTAAAGGAGTTGGAAAGAAAGACAGGGTTCAGAACCCCCCTGTTTGAGTTGGCGACATTTTGTTGCAAAGAATCGTGAAGTGTCGCCAACAAACAAAGGGTTTGCCTCGGCAGATTTACTCGACAAAACTTTTTGCGCAGAAATTTCACGACTCTGAAAGGTCTGACGGGCCTCTTAGTTACCATTCCAAACCCACGCTCACTCCCTTCTAGCTTCTCAAGTGATTGCATGCTCGCGAGTATTTTCTTACTCGCGAGTACGAAACCGAGTAAAAAGCGATGCACATTTTTTTTTCGCAAGTTTTACTCGCCTCGTCTCGGGCGAGTAAAATATTTACGCGTTCAAAATGAGGTAAAAAAAAAACGAATCGAGTTGTTTACTTGCCCCGTTGCCCATGTCTACCATATCCCCCCTCTCTTCTCCCCATATTCCCCCGTCTTTTCATATCCCCCCTCTCTTGACTCGATCCCCTCTCTCTTCTCCCCAAATCCCGCTCCCTTTTCCCCATCTCTGTACCATCCACCATCCTGATAAACCATGTGCCAGTGGACGTGTGTGGGTCATACTTCAAGAACCCCTGCTACGTGGGAGCATGCATAAACGATGGCAAGGGCGCCTACTCCTGCATCTGCCCTCCCAACCACGTGCAGAGCACCACTGTTGACGACTTCCCCACCTGCGATCCAGGTGATATCACGTTCAAGTTGGTGGCTCTACATATGCCAGTTCATCTTATTTAAAATCTCCAGTGCATTGTGGTTGCAACATGCCTATACTTGCGTCGCGAAAATTGAAGGTCCGAAATATTGCTTGGAAGTAATATGAAAGTTGTGCTTCCGCAACTTTCACTTCAGTGAAAATGGGGTACAGGTCAAACGCTAATGTGCACGGGTGACTTCAAAGTTGCGAAAAAAGGTGACGACAAAGCTTCGAAAGAACGCCCATATCGTTCACACGCACCACAACTAAAAGTGACATCAGAAGTGACATGCGTCACTTCTAAGTCATCGTTGCCATGTGGATGCCTCAACGCCACGTGTGCATATATTTCCTACCAGCTGTCAAGGTGAACAGTGGATATAATAAGCCACGGAGACCAGTCAGATTTCCCAAGGCATATTGGCTGACGCAATAATATCTCTAAACATTCTTGACTAAAACATGTAAATGGAGCAAATTGAATCCTTATAAATATTAGTTTAAGTACATCAGACCCGAACACAAGCACTAACAATGTTTGGCATAATATAACCTATTTTTGTGGCAATGCAACAAAAGCAAACGTAGTTGCCCGTCAACATTAACAGTGATGGAAAGGGGATCAAAATCACGAAAGTAAAATCAGAACAATGGCGGCATAGTTATTTTGCTCCTAGCTGTGGTACCTGCAAAATCTGATGTTAGGGTAGCAGATGTACAAACGTGAGCAGCAAAAAAGGAAACTAGGGAGTCATGCAACATAGTAACTAAACAAGTCAACATGGCAAGTACAGGCCTATGTGGAGAAAAACGCAGGGGCAGCCTTGCGTTTTGCCTTTAAACGCACCTGAAAAAACGCAAAACGCAAAACGCACCGGGAAACGCGAAACGCTTGGGTGAAATTTTTTGGGCAGACCAGAAAAAAACAATCCGCGCCCCCAAATTTGACATTCCTGATCACGACGCTGAGGTCACTGACGCAAAATTGATACCCCTCCCAACCGAAATCAGCCCCTACAACTAACCCCCCAACCAAACTCCCTAAACCCCCAACCAAATTTGATGTCACGAACTTACTCAACCACTCTACAACCGTAACACCCAACCATTGTGGCCCACCTCCACAATTGGTAAGGAGCACAATGCCTTTATTTTGCTCCTCATTTCTAGGTTTCACAAATTCTCTTTCGGAAACCCTAGGGGTTTAGGACTTTGTTAGCAAGCCAAGCCACTACACCATGGTTTCTTCTAGGGTTTCCTCGGACGATGGAGGTCATGTTGGCCCCGTCGAGGAGGGTACCGCACCCGCATCCTTGGAAGAAGGGGGTGAAATTTCGGCACACCCTGAGCACATTATCTACAAGCATTACGTTTTCTTCAAGGTTCCGAAGGTGAAACAGGCGAAGTGCTTGTTTTGCAAGAAGAAGTTTAGCTTTAACGCAGGGCGTTGCGCCTCTCACCTCGCCGAATGGTTCGACCTGAACAACCGCCATGAGATAGGAGACATTTGCGACAAGGTGCCGAAGCCAATTTCCAAAGGCTTTTAAGGGAAGCTTAAGGCGCGCAAGGATAAGGACAAGGCTGAGAATGTAGCGCTCACTGCAGTGAGCGGCAAGAGTTCGTCACAGCAGGGAAAGGCGAAACGCGGGAGGATGGAGGACTACTACGGAGAGGAGGGACTCTCGGCGAAGCGGGCTGCCGACGAGGCGATTTGCCTCTACTTTGCGGGGACGCGCACGGCGGAGCGTCAGTGCGAGAACCCCCTCTTCCTCAACATGTTTCGCGCTGTCGGCGCCGCCGGGATGAGCTACGTTCCCCCCAAGCGTGGCTTTGTCGATGGCGTCAGACTGCTGGAGTGCAAGAAGTGGGTGGAGAGGGGTTTGGAGCCTATTACCGCGACTTGGTCGAAAACGGGCGTGACGGTTGCGAGCGACATGATGCAGGACACGAGCGGGCGCGCCCAGATGAACATTATGTGCATCAACGACGCTGGTGCGGTCTTCTTGGAGGCGGTTGACTGCCTCATGGAAACGAAGACGGGCACGTTCATGGCCAGCATCCTCCGTCCTATCATAAAAAAGATTGGGCCAGAGAACGTCGTCGCGATTTGCACGGACGGTGGCAGCAACTACAAGGTGGCCGGCACGCTGCTGCAGCGCGAGTAGCCGCATATTGAGATCGTTCCCTGCGCCACCCACGTGTTGGATTTGCTGATGGAGGACATCGGCAAGATGGACTGGGCGCAGGAAGTGGTCGGTCGCTCGACAGACATAATCGCGTTTCTCCGCATTCACCAGTGGACACGCGCCTACCTGAGGAGTACCGAGCTGCACGGCGGGCACGCGTTTTGGGTCGCAGTACATCGCTGTGTCTCGTCTTTGCGAGCTTCGCCCGGCTCTGCTGCAGATGGTGGTGCACAAGGATTGGAAGGAGGACAAGGGGAAGAAGGTGACAGCGCAACAGTTCGAGGGGTGGGTGATGGATGGGCTGTGGTGGAAGAAGGCGGAGTTTTTTGTGCGGGTCATGGAGCTGCCGTTTAGGGTGATGAGGCGAACGGACTCTGATAAAAAGGGGATGATGGGAGCGATCTACGACATCATGCTGCAACTCACGGAGGAGTTGACTGCGCTTCAGGAGGGCGCCGATTGTCGGCTGACCGAGGTGGAGAGGGACGAGGTGCAGGAGCACTTGCACGAGCACTGGGACGGCAGCTTGACATGCCCTCTGCACGTGGCTGGCAGGATTCTGAATCCCGCAAACCAGGGGGATGAGATTTTCCTGGCTGATGTCGAGTGGACCAAGGTGATGAAGGAGTGGCTGGCCCACTCGATATTCATGAGCAGCGAGGGTGGGGTTTAGGCTCGACTCGTTTGAGATGCTCGTTGGGAGTCGAGTCACGAGTCTGCGATTTTGGCGAAAAAACTCGGCCGAGGCGAGGCGAGTTTTACTTGCCGAGTTTTCTTTCCTCGTTATTTGCTCGCCGAGCATTTTCTGGGTATTTTTGTGCTCGTCGAGTTTCTAAAACTCGTCGTGCATGCGGGAATCTCGTCCTGTAACCCTAATAGAGAAATAGCGGGAATGGTTGGGTACAGATCTGAGAAACGCATTTGTACCCACCCACCACAATTTCCACCGTTCGCGAAAGTGGCGAGCGGTTGAAATTTGACGCGCCTTACCATGAATCACCTGCGATTAAGTCAAAGTGTTTGCGAAATGTTATCGCGAAACAGTTTGACGCAAAACATTTTGGGGACAGATCTGAAACCGTAATTGTTCCCAACCACTTTCTCTGTACTTTCACAAACCCTAGCCCACTCGAACTAGCAACTAACCGTTGTTTCCATCCAAAACTTATGGTTCAATGTGATGGCGTCTCCTGTAACTTGTACCTTAGCTTAACACCCGCCACAGTATTCTCGACATTGACTTGCGAAATAGGGCTGCGCACCTGAAATCGTCTGAGCATGGCAAAAAACGACGAAAAACGAGTATGCAAAAACGTCAAAATTGCTCATCAGAGTTTTGCTCGACTCGGGAGGGGATGTTGGCTTACATCAACGGTACGGGGTGCTTCGGAACGGAGGAGGCGAAAGCGGGGCGTGCGGAGCTGCAGGAGGGGAAGGGTTGCATGCTGGTATGGTGGCAGTATCACGGCTGGGAGTACAAGGACCTGGCTGACCTTGTGCACCGTGCGCTGTCCCAGCCCGTTTCCGCCTCCCCGTGCATGCGGGGCTGGGCCACCTGGGACGGCGTGCACACGGCGCGCAAGAACAGACTCAGGTTGGAGAAGGTGCGTGACCTTGTGTTCGTTGCGCACAACTGTAATGTTGTGCACAACCACCACAAGGGTGCGGCTGTTGCAGGGCCTAGTGGGGCGGGAAGGAAGGGGGGGGTCGTGGAGGGGAACATTCCCCCCCCCCCCCCCTCCCCCTCCCTGAGGGGTACAAGTTGGAGGAGGATGGGGAGGTGGAGGCGGATGAGGACGACTTGTGCGTGGATGAATAGAAGGGATCGGAGGACGAGAAGGACAAGGAGGACGCAGAGGAGCCGAGAAGGACGGGGAGGAGGCCTAGATGTTGTGCATGCTGTACTTTGCTTAGTCCTGCGTTCAAACGCCAGCGTTCAAAACGCTGAACACGTTTTCCGTCACATAGGTGCAGGCTACTTACCGGTACTACCTGTCATGTACACGATCTCATTTATGACGTAAAATTACGTGGCATGTTAACGGTAATAAAGACATATCTGCACACCGGGCATAAGAGTGAAAGCACGTAGAATACGTTCGAGAATCCCCACCTTTGCGATCCATTCTGAGCACCTCATACTAAGCGCGTCCTGTTGGGTTAGAAAAGAGCATCCACTTCTACATAAGCATACAAATTGGCAGCGTGGAATCAATGAAAGAGCGCGACAATAGTGCGGCGTACCGGAAATTGCAAAACGATGGCCACCATCTGCTGTACGGTAGTAGCACGAGCCTGGTTGACACTAATTGTTGAACTGTAACTGCAGCCAACAGTCCAACGACACAAAAATACAAAATCAGTTTAGGAGTACTCAACTGAAAGCACAGCATAATACCATGCTTACACTAGGGCGACCTTCCATTAGAGAAAATTATGAGGGATAGATCTGGGGAAGGGAGAAATGGGCGAGAGAGTTGAGAATGAACAGCAGCGAGAGTGTGAGGAACGATGTAAATAATAATTTGGTGAAGGGACTGGTAGAGAAGAAACGGTTGAGAAGAACTGGTCGATAAGAAATGGTTTGAGAACATTCGGAGGTGGAGATAAGGAATCATGGTGATTGGTGAGAACATGTTTTCTTCCTCTCTCAATTGGTTAGAACTCACTGAGAGTTGGGTTTCATAAAACAAATTTGGCAGTTTGTGTTTGGCAACGTTGTGCAAAATCCGCTATTTTCGTTTGCATGACACACTCTTGCTGCTTCGGGATTGGTGGTTGAAGGTCCGGTAACATTTTGTGGGCTTTGCGATATGGTCGATACCCTAAACCTTGTACAAAGAGCACTCTAACACTACACCCACGGAGTGAGTGTGTCTGTACGTGGACACGAAGGGGCGGAAGTGACATTTTCATAGCTTTCCAGTTGCGGCATTGACTCTTGGAGCTTTTCCGCAGCTCGTCTTTGTTATTCCGCAGCTTTTTAGCAAGAAAAACATCTTTGCACATTTTTCTGTTCCAAATGTTTTCAAGATGTGCTTCCAGCAATGCGTGATGGGGCCCGTGTCACCTTTTTGGCTACACTCGCTCCCCTCCCGTCCTTTCCTCATTGCCTGTGCCTCCTCTTTTCCTGTCTGCAGCGAACACCACAGCCACCACGATGACAGTCAGTGGAGACAACTGGTTGTGCTCTGATGTTCATCAACTTGTTGGCCTCTCACTGGATCAATTTACTCTTCAGAATGCTGTAAGGATAGGGTGGAGAGGGGTTGGGGAGAATGAGGTGGACAGAGTTGGATCCGGACTATGGGCTAGCCTCCGTTCGACTTCGTCGCTTCATTTCGCCCGTTAATACTATCAACCCGGTCCTGGTATGATTTGATTGGACAGCTTATCAAACTTGCCCATTGTTGGGACTTACATCCTGGTTTTATTTGATCAGCCCAGAGTGGACAATGCCAGCTCCTTTGTTCACATGAGAAATCCTAGAATTCCAATTCGGGTAGTAGTACGGTGTGAGAACGACACCCCCTAGGACCCGCTAAGGAGAGGAGGTCTTGCCCGTTTGGACTTTGGCACGCACCTCTCACTAATACGTGTGTTTCTCAATGCAGGGCATCAATTGCAGCCTGCCATTGCCACAGGGCAGTGTCCTTCACTTGGATGGCTCTCCCGCCACACCCTGCACTGCCTTCTTCTACGCCCTCAATGTGAGTCCTGCTGCCATGTTTGCCACAGTGCACCATGCACGCAACCACCCTTCTCAGTGAGCTCACTACATCTCATCATTGTGGATGCTAGTGAGCAAGCAGCAACCACACTATCCCTTCCTTTCTTCAACCTTCCAGGGGGACACCTGTTCATCCATCAGCGCGCAGCTCCAGTCAACTAATGAGGATCTCGCCTCGCTCAACCCCGGACTTAACTGCTCCGAGCCCATTAAGGCGGGTCGCTCTGTGTGCCTTGAGCGCAGTGCTGCCTTCGCCTACACGGTGCCCCATTGTGTGCAGTACGGCACGCTCACACCTCAAGACACATGCAACAACCTGCTTCAGAGGTCCACTATTCCCGGGGGGGTCTCGTGGCCGGAGCTGTACCGCAACAATCCTGGCCTTACATGCTCCGCCACCATCCCTTCCTCTGCCTCGGCTGTTGGCAGCAACATTGGCGTACAGGTGAGGGCTATGAGGAGGAGGATGTGGAGGAAGAGGGAGGGGGGGGGGGGGGGGGAAGTAGGGTGTGGTGCGGTGGTGGAAGAGGGAGGGACGGGAAGGCAAGCAGTAGGTGGACGAAGGTGGTTGCGATCTGTGCACCGAATGATATCGTTTGTGAGATTTGAAGGCCTTGGAGTAAACACTACAGTACACTTGTTGGCATTTCCATTGCCAAAAGTTCTTCATCGCCCGTGCCCCTATTATGTGTTCCTTGTACATCCTAATTTGTGTTTCTCCGTACATATTGTGATATCAGATTTGCCTCAGAGCAAGCTATTGGTCGTTCACTTTGGGCATCTGCAAGAAGGGCAGGGTCAAGCCAGTCCAGCCGTCCATGGCCTGTTCAGCTGCTTACCGCTTTTATCGTGAAGCTACATCAACGGCAATTGCTCAGTTTTACGACTATAATGGAAGGTCTTGCTCTGGAGCTGTAGGCGCGAAGTCTATTTGTGTCTCTTCTTAATTTGGCTTCCAAATGCCATATTCTCCTGCACATAAGACCTTGTGGATCATCATGCCGTAGGTTAGATGGGTGAAATACCCTTATGAGCAGGGTATCCATGTTCAGACATAATTTGGCTCTTTAAAATTTAGACGTGATTCTTTGACTGCATTAGCACATTTGCATTAGCCAGGCATTTATTCCATGCACAGGGATTTGCATGCATGGGATTAGTACCGGGAGGTCATCTTCTTGAGCTCCCAGAGGGACCGCTCGGTGTGCCCCATTGGCTGGGAGCACAAGAGGTACCAGCCAAGATAGGCACGAACGGCATCCATCAAGGGCTGGCGAAGCAGGCTGGCAAAAACAAACACCATCACCTGCAAACTTCAGAGTGCAAAGCAACGGGAGGGTGAGCACAGTGGATGTGAGTAGTTGGGAGATGGGTGGTAATATGAGCAGACTGGTTTAGGGGCAGTGGTGATGAGCACAAGGGAATGGAGGAGGAGGCAGTCAACAGGGGGTGTGTTGTAACACGGATTCATGTCAGATTTATATGACATAGCTACTGTAGGCTATAGTGGGGTAGCACATATGGGGTACAGTTTTCTAGGGTTTACATTTGTACCCAACTTTCCCTTAGTCAATTCATTCCTCGTTTCTTCTCATGGTATCGAGCAGGTTCCCTAGTGGGAACGATTCCTAGGGCCCACCACCACATTTTTTTTTTTTTTTCCTGCCCGGAGCGCGCTTCGCTCCGGCCCGAGTCGCGCCCTGTGTGCTCTCCCTACCGTCGCGCCCTCGCTAGGCCCCTCACGGCCCCGTCGCGTCGCCCTTAGCGACCCTCTCACGGCTCCCTAGCGCCGCCCTTACGGCTCGTCGCGCCGCCCTTACGGCCCGTCGCGCCGCCCCTACGGCCCGTCGCGCCCGTCGCGCCGCCCTCACGGGCCCTCGTGCCGCCCTTACGGCCCGTCGCGCCCATCGCGCCGCCCTCACGGCCCCTTGCGCCGCCCTTAC